TCATGTGGAGGCAAACATGTTGGACCATGTAGTGCAGCGCTGGAAACCACCAGCTACTGTCTGATTGCAATGTAGTATTCCATTAATAACCACAAGCAGACATCTGCACATACCTGTGTAGACAACAACTCAATTATTGATGTCCTCTTTCTACTTATTCTGACCCAGTTATATTTAAACCTTTATCCATGAAGCTTTTTAGCAAGGCACATGGCAGCAATGCTTTGAGAAATGAAGCAAACCAGCAAATAAAGACCTAAATAATCTCAGTGTCATTGTAAAACGAGAACCAAAGGGGGCAAGGACTAGTCCTAGAAGAAACAGAATGGGTTTCTAAGAGAAAACACATAGGGTACTGATAAGAAATGGTTTAAATTTTCATAAATCTTGTGCCCTTCTTTCTTTTTTTGCATGGCCATTATATAAAGTCATGGTCTAGTAGTTCATGGTCTAGCTCATGTGTGCCTCTGAGGTAAAGAAACTCATTCTGTTATGCTCTGCTGCATTTATTGTCTTTGCATTATTTTGCCTTTGTGCACTGCATTTTCTTCATGGTTCTCTGCTATAGCATTTTATACACATCTTCATTTTTGCTCAGTGAACAATAAAAAAGGTAATAAAAAGGGTGAAAATGGAAAACTATCATTGGCAATGTAGAAAGTTTTGTAAGTTTAAGGCCATAGCTTTACATGCTCCCAACTAACTTACCTGACTTTTTTCTTCAAAATAGGTGAATTAAATTGATGTATTCTCCAGACTGAATTTCCCAAACATAATCACAGTGGATTTGGCACACCTGTACCGCATATTATCACACCTTACCTTGTTAAATAAAGCGATAAATGTGATAATAGTGAATATATTACATTTAAAAAAACATGGGATTAAAGCTGGAACATAATATACTGCTGGAGAATATCCAAAAATAGCCAGTAGAAAGTAATATCTGAGTGGTACAAAGTGGCTCAGAGGAGACCTGTAGTGGCTCCACCTATTGACCTCTCCACCCAAGAAGGCTGCAATTACATAAGCACTCATAAACAAAAACATGCATCACTACACACATGCACACAATGCTGATGAAGAAGGATTTTTTTCTGCAGACAGAGGCAAAAACACCCGCCTCATAGCATGCACAGGCACCCGCTCTGTCACATAATCATGCTCTGTAGGAATATTCAGGATTGTTTGTGTGCTCATGCATTGTGTGTATGTAAGCATACAATTTTACAGTTGTGATTTGCACAGATATGTGCACCGGTGTGCATGTGTGTATTGGGGATGTGGAGGAAGAGGTGGAGCTTGTAGCAGACAGTTTGTGCTTCTCTGAGCGGCTCTGGCATCATCAACATAACGAGCGACTGAAATCTGTGGAGGGTGAAAAAGCAATTTACTCTCCCACAGCTGAGGGGGATTCACTACCGCCATTAATTATCTGTATGTGTGTGTGTGTGTGCTTGTGTGTGCAAGTGTACATATGTAAGTACGCACCAATTCATACGCCTCATATGTGAGCATATATATGCGAATGAGAGCAGATTTTTGTGTCAGTATTTACTCTGTTTTTAAAAGTATTTCTCCCTGGTGTGGATGCCTGAAGGTGACTTGCAGCATTCATTTCCTCCATCAAAGCCTCCCTTATTGTTTAAAAATCTGGAAAGAGTAACACAGTGTTGTCACGCATCCATCCCTGAAAAGCCGGACGCTGCTTTAAAAATGCACCGTCATCATCGCTCTCGCTCTCTAGGGGACACAAACATGCTCAGGCAGATGCAAATACACGAAGTGAGAAATGAATCTGAGAGTGCACAAAAAAAAAAGATTAAAAGGATTTTAGTTTTTAATTAATGATTGCCTTTGGTAGACCGAGGTAGAAAAGAAACACAGAGCGCGACTGCTGCTCCTCATAGATGTGAGTGACATTTTTATGGGATAGGTGTCCGTCACGCATAGTAACACACTTGCACGCACATGCACATCATCCCCCAGGCACTAGTTTCGCTAGCTAAGGCCGGTGCTTGTGGCTCACAGAGCAACAGAATAACTCTTTATCACCGGGCGAGGAAGAGAAGAAGGAAACGGGACGCTTGTGGAAGCTGACAGTTTGACTCCTCTGCTTGTTATTTTCACTCTTGAGTACACATAGTCCAAACACACACATTAAAGAAGGCATGAATTCTTGCGTGCAAACACATACAGGTTGGTGCAGTCACACACATATGCCTAAAATAATACAATCCATTGCATCATGTAAGATAAATGCCCCCAGAATGTCTCTTGCATTGCAGCAAGTGACCAAATTCATAAAGCACAACCTGATACGTTTGCCACTATCCGCGTCATAAACCCTGTTAAAGTGAGATTAATGTTTGACTTGTCAGAGATGGTGTAGTCTTACATTTTAAATGTGGCTATAAATGTCATTATGTGCCAGAGAATCAAAGTAGAAGATGGAAGACGCAGCACTCCATCAGCAGTGTAATTTTATTCAAGGACCTTAAGAGTGAAATCAGTTTATTTTCCATCACAGGAAGCTGGGATGATCACAGAAATGCAGTAAAAAAAAAACTTAAAGCATCCATATTCACTCCTGTCATTTTGAGATGGTCCTGAAGCGTTGTTGCTATTGTAGGAGCAGAGAAAAAAACATTCAAACTTAATCAATAAACAGCACTGAGTGTCACTCTGTCAACATAATAAACAGTGCTCCTCGATTTCACCTGCTCAGCTCTCATATTTACATCCCAGATTTATCCAATTTGTGTCATTAAGCACGGTGTGATGATTCAATACTGTTGCTCTGATTGCCTCGCACCGAGATGATGTGCATATAACTACCCAGCTTGATTCAGATTTGAATAATCAAATCAGTAGTTAGAGAAGCTGCTAACATATTGGGCATCAATGGCTAACAAGAAGTAACACATGGTATGGGTGTGTTATTACAAGGTAAGGTGGGTGTTGTGTGTTTATTGGGGGTCAGTGAAATCCCAAAAAGCTAACAATATATTACTTGATTTAAAACTCTTCGTTTCCCAATCCTGTTTGTGCCTCTCAGTACTTAAGCCCACTAATTTCCATTTAGTACTAAGCTCTAAGTGCTAAATCAGCACTTTCCCAATTTTTAAGAAAAATGAAGCATAGCGGTAGTTCAGGCAGGACACAGAGTCACGCTAAAGGCGACAGTCAGCTGATCTTAAGCCAGCTCTCAGTCAGCTGACAGCTCGCAGATGATCGCCCTCTACACATCCTATTGGCTAATGTCAAGATGGCGCCCTATTTAAACTGCTTCTCCTGCATACTCTGCAACCCCCCTCCACCCCAGCTCCTTCTGTTTATGTTGTGTCTGATCTTATCAGTGTCATATGTATTGTCGCTAATGCTTGCTCTTACTCGTATCTTAATTATATTTATTTGCTGCTACTTTCTCTGCCTTGGCTTTTCATGTATGCACATGAAAGGGAGGGGAGGAGCTCTCCCTTCTTATAGCCGTGGCATTCCATGCAAGCGCATGGAAGGGCAGGGAACTCTCAGAACAGAGCTATACCGCCAATGTAAAAATGTTTGCTTGCAATAAATAATTAATTTTGACCAAAGTGGTCCTGACTGAACTTTATTTAATCAGTCGTGACCAACTCTTTGTTTGGAGACTATTTCTAGGGGAAGTTAATCTGAATGTTGGATACTTGCAGCCTCAACATGATATATGAAGCACCCAACAATCTTAACAGAATCCCTGTTCATGAAAGTCAAATAACATGACACATACTTGAAAAGGTTAGCCCAGTGAAACCTTGGCTATAAATAGGGCTCTATGCACAGAAGACTGCTCTGCTTGGCTGTGTTGGTCGGGTTATATTACAATTGATTTTTATCCATGTTGTTGATCTTTCATTGGATTTTATCTGTAATCTCCAGCCCAACTTAGTTCTGTTTAAAACATCTTTGATATCATTGGGAGACAAAAATTGCTGAATAAAACAAGAGACAAAACAACACAAAAAGCTACGCAAAGAAAGTCTAAAAAATAAAAGTATGACATTATTAAAAAGTAACCCAAATGAAATAAATGTAACACATAAATTGAACTGTAAAGTATTAAATATCAGCAAAGCTTGATGGAACAAATCAAAACAAGAAATTAAAATAACATGATAATTCTAGCTAGAACAAACTAGGAAACACTACGATAGTCAAGTTAAGGAAGCTGCAAAGATTGGAAGGTTTTCTTTGTTGTTGTTAATTTTAGCTAGAAAAGCTATTTTCAAGCTCTCTCAGGAGGACCCAAAACAGATCCTTACGGAACTCCACAGTTAATGTTTGTTAATTTTTTTTCTTGAGTATAATCACCATGTGTCATCAATAAACAATTCAGCAAAAGTAAGTGCACAAGGCTGCAATGAGCTATTGGCATTCAGTCAAAAAGCATAGATACATTCATAGCTGATAATCTCTCTGTTCTTCTTTTGTTCCTGTGAGACCTTGTCACTCAGTTTTCTTTTTCCTTTTCTTCAACAGTCAAAGATTCAGGCAAATTAAAATTGAAATGGTTATCTTTCTCTCAATCTGTCACCTCTTTTCCTCAAGCATCATAATTTGTATGCAGACGGGACCACATGATCTCTCTTCCTTTGGCAGTCTTCCCCTCACTGTTCTATGGAAACTGTCATCTGTGAGAAAATCTGGCCCTGTATGTTAGCAAAATGATGACCGTTCATTTCTAATTAACCTCTGCTCTCTCCTTTTTTTGCCCCCTCCTCCCTCACAGAGATCCAAAATAGCCGTATATGAAAAGATGTGGTCGTATATGAAGTCTGCCGAACCCACTGTCTTCACCAAAACCACAGCGGAGGGTGTTGCAAGGGTGCGCAAGTCCAAGGGGAAGTACGCCTTCCTCCTGGAGTCCACCATGAACGAGTACACCGAGCAGCGCAAGCCCTGCGACACCATGAAAGTCGGGGGGAACCTGGACTCCAAAGGATATGGGATTGCAACACCAAAAGGCTCACAGTTAAGGTGGGTGGAATAGTGTAACAATAGGAGACAGTAGCAAAGCTGATGCTGTACTATTGCTGCGATATTCCACCCTCCCTGCTGTGCCTTTTAAAACACACAAAGATTAACATATCACTGCTGCCAGGTGAAAATCTGTCATCCACAAGGATTTAGGGTCAAAGTTTAAAGTCAGTAGTTACCACATTTACAGACATTCTGTGAAAAATAATAAAAAATTTAAAAAAAACACGATCTAAAAAAATCTTATTTTGGGATTGATATTGTTTCTGTATGTTCTGTCGACTTCAAATTAGTTGTGAAAGATTACATTTGATTAATATGAAACCCCAAAAAGAAAAATCCAGTGTTTGATTTTCACCCAGCAGCAGCAACATTTTAGGGTAAGCTAAATATGTGGAGAATATGTTTCATTTTACCTTCCCTTCCCCATGCCTTGATTTATTGCTTTTCTTACCCTAAAACTCCCTTTCCTTCTTTTTATTGTCCGTCTACTAAGCTGTACTTCCCCTCAGTCCATCTCACTGTGAATAGGGCTCCATCTCTGTGTCCTGGGTTATTGTCAATCGTCGGTCCATCCCTCTTATGTCTCATGTTCTCCCCGTCCTTTATTGGTCACTCTGTTTCTCCACAGGGCCACCTTGCAGGTAACTCTGTCCATTTCTCTGTTGTCTCGTCTCTTTGTTCCTTTCATCCTCAGAGATGATAGTCATGACGATAATGATGATGATGATGATGATGATGACTGTATAGTAGTGATTTATGAACCGCATAAGAACGCAAGGAGGGGCAGATCCTCAGACTGTTGGCACTACATCCAGAGCCACAAGAGGGAATTTATAGATTGAACAGGAGACTAAAAGTGAGAAATAGAAAGTAGAGGGGCCTAACCGATGGGGGGACTAGAAAACTAAAACCAATACAGGAACTTACACCAAAATGCCCCAAATAACAGAATAAAAACACTCTTTTAAATTTCCACCAAACAAACATGAATGGAAATTGAATAAGGAGTAATCAGTGGTTTTTCTGTCCAAATGTACGAACGTTCAAATAACACTGAACAAAGAGAGCATTAGGAGGAAAATTTGAGAAAGTGAAGTCCCACACTTGTTCCACTTGTTCGGATGTTCCCTTTGCAGGCACTTCTTATCCTGTCCTGTCGACTTTTAAGGGGTGTATCCTAGGAGTGGTCTGCAGAGGCATTTGCCCCATTTGAAAATAACCACCTAAGGTGATAGCCCATCATTCAAGGCAGGAGATTTAGATGCTTCATGCAAGACACTACTTGCAGCTGTTGTGGCATTTAAGCGTTGTTTATTATTTTATTATTTTATTAAATACAACATCAGATAGAAATGTGACATCTTCGTTATACCTTGATTGTTGCTAAGCACATAGAAGAGTAAGAAATGGCAAATTACTGCTACTCTAAGACAAATACACATCCATACATCATGCCACATCTTCATAAGTCAAAGCCTGTTGATACCTCTTTAACTTGAGCTGTCACTGAGGTATGCTAGCAATGCAGACGATGTATTTCCTTGGTGACAGCAGAAAAGAGACTTTGTCTCAACAACGTTTCGAGTGCCTGCTAAGGGAAAATAATTAACCACAGTAAATTCAGCAAAGCTGGACTACTTTCTTTCTCTTTTTCTCCTCATCTCAGTCTCTCAGTCAGCTTTTTATTTTTGCTTCGCGAAACAACACAAACAGCATCTCAGCTTCACATCCTGTCATATAACTTTCCTCTGTGTGTGGTGCAAACAAGTCCCTTTAAAAAGAATAAAAAACCCCACCAGTTTGTCCCTCTGTGTACACAAAGGTTTATCCGTTTATGAGGGAAAAGTGACAGACAGCGGGTGGATGGATTCCCTTTAAACCCCCCTCCCCACTTCAAAGCATTTTTGGGACTATCCACGGTTGTCTCTGGCTTCTCCCACTCTGCGGAAACCCAGTCCAATAAGAGCACACATGTGGCTGCAAGTGCGCACGTCAGGTGATCCTGCCTCTCCTCTCAGCGCCCTAATCACAGCTCTATTTGACTTGATGATGTTGATGAGGAGAATGAATACCCTGCTGATTGAAATGAATGTTAGGAATGTATATTAATTTTGATATAACTATTTATCTGTGAATGTTTTAATCATGACTGACAAAGAGATGTTTTAACTGTTTTCATCCATAACTCTGACATTAGTGAGATTAGTCATGGCTTGTAGATTAGATTGCCCCGGAGAACACTGCTTCTCTCTATAACTCTTGACTAACTTCACTCTCAGAGCTAAAACCAACACGCATTAACTTCAGAAATCAGTCTTTTTTCCTCCATTATATAATCAGGAGGAACTTTCTGAAAGGCAGGTACACAGATCCTAAAAGGACAAGCAGCAACAGCAGTGTCCTTTTTGTAAAAATAAGCCCACCTGATAACGGGACCTCACAAACAAAAGAGTGGTCAGCAAGGCAAGCAAAAAATGATGGAAAGTTCATTCAGAGGTTGCTTTTAAAAGCAGGAATGCACCAAAGAAGGATAGACAGGATAGGATGAATACATTAGGACTTGCAGTGAATAAAAATGCAAAATCATTCAGCTCCTACAGCTGGGTTTGTCCTCTGGTTGTTTCAGAGACCAAACAGACCACATTGAGAAAGGAAAGACATTCGGACAGCTAGGACATTTAGGGAAAAGTTAAATTAACACTGTGGTTTGGTTACATCAGGAGGTTTAGTCTCAAACTTTCTGCAAACTCTGTTTTAACATACAGTATATCTGAAGTGCAGTGTAAAATTATTCTGTTAGATTATCAGTCTCGTGCATTTTTTTGCATGTTTCAGGCAAAATAATATAATGTATATGCAACATTTATGCCAAGATATTTCTTAGGCTTAATGTGGCTGTAAATATTAGATGCAGATTAAGCTTCAGCCATTGGTCACACTTCTGTTAAAGTTACGTGGGTGGTGCAGAGTAATAAAGCTGACGTTTGCTGGAACTGCTAGAGAGGGTAGCTCAAATCCAAGATCAGGAAGTTGGAAAAGCATTCCTACTTTATTCACGCTTTTAAAGCAGTTTTTCTTTCATGCCAGCTGCTGATTTGTATATTTCAAGTGGGCTCCAATGCCAACAAGTTAATTATGATAATACATTTAAAGAAGGAGTTGAAGCGCTTCCTTTATAAACATACCAATTATGTAGGGTTGAGCTGAGCTTATGTACACACTGTGTGAATGTCTGATATTTAGCCTTGTGTCCCTGGATTTTGTTTGGAGGTCAATCGCTTCAGGGGTGTGAGCAGGAGGGCTGTAGGAAAGTGGAGCTACACACACACACACACACACACACACACACACACACACACACACACACACACACACACGTACACAAACCCAGAGTAGTAAGCAGGTAAGCAAGCAGCAGGAGGGGACAAGAGCGCCATTAGCAGGCTGCAGAGACCTGGTTAACACAGTTTGTACAGGAAATCTGACACTCACTGTGGAGCATCCTCTGTTTTGTGCAGCATGAAACAAGATCAAGACAGAGGACGAAACAATGATCCTCTAATGAAAGCAGATAATGCTGTAAAAAAGAAAAAGTAAATCCAATCTTTTGAAAGTTTCTGAAGTAGAAAGTCAAAGAGAAAGAGTAAGAAAGAGCGTTGTCTGGGGTACATCCTCCACCACTAACCCACCTTTCGCCCCCTGTGATTTCTCCCCTCATTGCTCCTTCTCTTCCTCCTCCCCTTTTCTACCTCCCAGCTGTGATCCCAGTCCATCTTGTCTGTCTGTCCCTCCATCCTCTGCTCTGACCAAACTTTCTTATCTGTCCCTCCTTTTTTGTTTTTTTTTACTTAAAGAAACGCGGTCAACCTGGCCGTTCTAAAGCTCAACGAGCAGGGCCTGTTGGACAAATTGAAAAACAAGTGGTGGTATGACAAAGGAGAATGTGGCAGCGGGGGAGGGGATTCCAAGGTTAGCCCTCTCTGTCTGCCCAACCCCACCACTAGGGGGGCGGGGGCTGCTCACCGGCTAGGTAGCCTGCGACGGCCCCCGTCCTGCAGGTGTAATGCACGCATCTGCCCCGGCGATATGAGAAAGAAAAACTTCTCCAAGATACTCAGTTTAAAAAAAAAAAAATAGGCACAATGTTGCATCTGTTGTCAGTTGTGTGTGCTCTTTCTACATGAAAGGTTCAGACACAGTGACAAAGATACAATACTTGAGCCTATTGAGACACAAACAGCAGAATATCACTTTTCTAGTGAGGAGAATCCCTCAGGGGAAAAAAAAAAAAAAACATCTTCAAATGAAACAGATACGTTTGGAGACCCTGAGAAAATGCTTTAAAGGATCAATATGAAAAAGAAAATCATGTAGAAATCATCTCGGAAAATTGTTCAAAATCATACCAGGGAATATGTCTCCTTTGTGGGTGAGTGCTTGGCTCTATAAATCAAGCTCCTCATGATAATAACCATTTCGAATGTGTTTGGCACTGATCTGGTAATGCCCCTCTGAAAGGACAAAGTGAGGGGTAATGGGAAGAGGGTTCAGTGATGGATAAGTGGGAAAATAAAGAGAGCAATTACTGTCAAGACAGGAATATTCGCCCTCTAGTGGCAGCTCTGGGGAGTGACGCGAGAGTTTAGAGAGACCAGAGTGAGAATCAGACAGAGTGAAAGAAAGACAGACACCAGAGTGATCCTTTTCATTCCCTCAACTGAGAATCAGTTGCTAAAGAACAAGGCAGATGAAACAGGTTTTAAACATTTAGTGGAAAAATGAGGCCCGAGTGTAATCGTAGATCTCAGATTCTTCTGGGCTCAGGTTGACTTGAAGCAGAGGGGAGGATGAATAATTGATAGCAGCAGAATGCAATTACAGGATAAAGTTTCCCCCTTGTGCCTTGGTGAGATTTTAACAATTCTATTTGGAGTATTCAAACATTTATACAACTCTTTTTTCTGCTTTTCTTTCTGTTATCCTTGTTATCTCCTGTGTGTTTATTCAGAGTTGTTACCTGATTCCTCGTTTAAATCTCGTTTCTTGTGTTTTTATATGAAAACAATAATTTAGAAAGCACACTG